TAATTGTTTTTAAAAAGGGGCAAATAAATAAAGTTTTAATTATCGCTTTATTAAAAATCGATAACCTCCCGCAACGGGAGCGCGTTGCGGATATTTATATAAAGCGAAAAAAAGGCAATGTCCGTTTCGGGGGCAAATCCATTAAAATTAAAAACGTTGCAACGGCGTTCGTTACGCGCTTTACGCTTTTTTTCGGCGAAGGTTTTTTTACCGCGGCGGTTAAAGCCCGCCGGGGGGTTACCGGCAAAACGCTTGCGGGAATTTTAAAAAGCTGCAAGCGTAAAAGGGCCTAATGGACCCGCAATATTTAAAAAGCTTACCGAAAGGTTACCGGCAAAACGATCGTTAAAAATTTAAAGGATTAAAAATTTCGGTAAAACCGAATTCGAATCCGATTAAATTACGATAATTAAGGAAAATACCGGGGGGTTGCCAAAAAAAGCTAACGGGCCGGTTGGAACCGAAAAACCCAAAGCGAATACCCGAAAAAACATTACTTTCTTTACGTAATCGGGTACAAAGGATAACATTTATAGCTACCGGTTAGGTCCAAATATCCAAAAGGAACGGTTAAATACCAATTATTTACGGTTACAATCGTTAAAATTATTGGAATGGTTATTAAATGCACAAAAAGGAAAAAAAAGGGCTTGTAGCTTCGAACGGGAAAAAAAGCCTTTTATATACCGGTACGAACCCATTTTTCCGGATGCTACAAAGCTTTACAACCGATTTCCCCAAGCGTTGCCGGGCATTGGGGCGGCTTAACGGGATACCGTAAGCTACCGGCTACTTACGGGGTTGTACGCGCGGCACAAACGGCCTGGAACAAGCCGTATCGGGAAAGGGCAATATGTTAAAAGCACGGGCAAAACCGCCCGGCAAAAAGCGGGAAGCGTTAAATGTACGGGCAAAACCGCCCGGCAAAAAAAAAAAAGGGGCGCTAGCAACCAGCCGGGCACGGACCCCCCGGGGATATGCCGGCAAGTTACCGGTATTGCGGCCAAAACATAATGGCAAAGCTAAAAAATAAGGTAAAGCTTAAATTGCACGAAAGCGTTTAAAGCGCGAAAGATTTAAAAAACCGACCCCGGGTGCCCGAAAGGGTACGAAAAAAGGGGAGGTTAAAAAAAAACAATCTTTGTTAGCAATAGCACCTTTGGTAAAAAATTTACGGAGGTTTAACAAAGGAAACACCGCATCCGGCCCGTAACCCGGTAATTACCCGCCTTTGCACCGATTAACCCCTAACACTGCAATTCTTTTACGGAAAAATTTTTACGCTTCCAAAACCTCTTTTAACAAAATTTTTTTTGCCGAAGCAAACTCCGTTATTAATCCCGAACGTTGCCAAAAACCCCTATCAAATTCCACTTTTTTAACTTTTACGTTTCCACGCTTTTAAAGCTTCCAACCCTTTATTTCTTACCGCTTTACTTTTACAAGCTTCCGGCTGTTACCAATTATGGGTAGCACGAATAACGATTTTTTCGTAACAGCGCTGCTTAAAAATCAAAAGCAATGGCTTACGTAATCCACGGCGCTCCGTTAAAACGCATTAATCCTAAGGATTTAAAACCAGGTTAACCTTAATTTAAAATCCCCGAACGACGTGCAAGCCGACGAAACCCTAAATTTTAACTCTTTTGCAGCAAAGGCCCGGGCCGAGCACGTTAAAAACTATAAGTTTAAGCGCTTAATTTGGCAAACGATCCTTTCGACCGAAAAAAAAGGCTCGCTTAAAGGCCTAGCAAAGCAAAAGCGAAACCACGCGAGGATTTAATCCTAAACCTTTTTAGGCCCTTTCGGTTTTTACCGAAAGTAATTTTAAAGCCAAGCACAAAAAAGCGCTTAAAGCAAAGGATACCGCAAGCAAAACCGCTTTAAAAAAGATTACAACCCTTTCCAAATGGATTAATTCCTCCGTAAACCTTATCGCGCTTGCGAACGCGCAGCTAAAAGCTTAAGCCAACAATTACGTTACTTTCCGTAGCACCATTATCTGCTTAAAAGCGCTTTACGCTCTTACCTTTATAATAAAAACTTAAATAATTTTTTAAAAGTACCGCAATACGCTTAAAAAGGCCGCCAGCACTACAAATATTAACCAATAGTTCTTAAAGTTCCAAACGATTTTTATTTAAACCAAAATTAAAAACGTTTTTAAAGTATAAAGCTTTACGCCCATGCTTAACTTTTTTAAGCATATAAAGCGCTTTAACCCTTTTTAAGCAAAGCGTTACCGTTAAAAAGTAATTACGGGCAACTTTACGGAAAAAATGAATATTTTAATTATTAAATTTTTAACAATCCTTTTTTAGCACCGCATTAATAATTCGGGCACCAAAAAAAAGTTCGCGTTTTTAACTTTTGGGGGCGCATTTAAAAATAAAAACGAAAAAGCTAAAAGCATTTAACGAAATAACGCAATAACGTACGAATGCCCGGCTTGCACTTAAAACCATTTTTAAAAGCCGGAAAATTGCTGGAAGCTCGTTTACGTACTTACCGGCAACTCCGGACGCTTCCGTAACAAGCCAAGCAATAAAAAGTGCAAAAAAATCAAAAAATCCCTAAAAAAAACCGTTAAAAATTATTTAAAAAGTCCTTCCTTTCCAAAAGCAAATTTAAAAATTCCGTTTAGGGGAAGCAAGCCAAAAGTGCGTTAAATTTCGGTCCCCGAACCTTAAAAAAAAAGTAGGATTTAAACGCGGCCGTACTTAAAGTACCTTTGCTTCAAAGCGTCTTTTCGGCCCTTAACATTATAAAAAACATTTATTTCGAAAGCACGCTATTCGATAATTACGGTTCGCTTTACATCGTTAACAACAAAAAGCGCTTCGACAAAAGGTTGTTCCAATCGTTAAACGGTACCAAAACGGTTCAATGTAGCACTTAATACCTTCCAATTTTAGGACAAAGCATTTGTACGCTTTTTGGCTCCCTAAACGGAGGTAAAAACCTTAAACTTTATAACGTCGCTTTAATAGAAGGCTTTTATATTAATATTATTTCGGAAACCCGCTTAAACGCTAAAAGGGTGTGGTTTTGCAGGAAAAACGCGATTTTGCGCATTGGGAAAGTTACCAACGGGAAAGTAATTAAACGCCTTTAACGCAAAAACAACGTAATGTTTTATAAATACAAGCCCGTTGCTATTTACTTTGTATTAGCCACGTTGCAATCTTTCCCCGGTAATACAATTTTAGCTTTCGCAATTAAAAAGTTTTTACGCCGCAAACGTGTTACGCATACGTAGCGTCCATTTTTAAACTTTACAAAACCGCAAAAAAACACCGCCGACTTTTAGCATTTGCGCAATGGTTATTTGGGATTACAAACGCTGGAAACTTTCGTTTGGAACGCCCGGAACGTTAAAATTAAAGGACCCAAACGGATCGAATACGAAACATGCGCAATAATTTACGCTATAGCTATTATTTTCAAGCGCTTTATAAAAAGGGCCATGCGCTTTTTTTAAAAGGTTTGGTTTAATTTATTTAATTATTTTAAGTTAAAGTTAAGGATAAACTAGGTTTTGCTATTAATAAACGAATACAGCGGCAAAACCTGGAGCTTTACATTCCCAAACAAAAAGGAACCAACGGTTACTAAAGTTTTAAAAAAATAAAAAATGTAAGTAAAAAAATAATACGGATTATTTATTATTATTTTTAAATACAACCAAAAAAAGTCCATTATATTTGTAAAAGGGTTTTTAAAGTACGAAAAATGGGCTTAAGCTAAAAGCATTGTTATCGAAACCTTACCGTTATATATTTACAAACCTAACGGGATAATTAAACGTACGGGATAAAACGTTATTACGAAAAGGATACGCATGCGCGAAAGCGCAGGATTTTTTAAACATTTATAACCGAAAACGGTTTACGTTACCGTTTAGCTAAAAAATATAAATCCTTTACCGTCGAAAGGTATGCGCGCTTTTAACGATATTTTTTTAAGCTGGTTTTGGGGATGGTTTTGGCATTACGCCCCGAAGCTTTTTACGGGTTTAACAACCAATTTAAAACCGGATTGGAACGGTATTTACGTTTACGGGTGCAAAATTTATCCTTTGGACGTAAAAAGGTCCCATAACGCGGATTTCAAGCATTTTAAAGTTAACCCTCGTGCCGGGGTTGGATATTTAATGGGCTACCAAGTTTTTAACATTTACCGGATTTAAATCCCGTTAAAAAAAAGAGTAATAATTACAAAAAACGTTAAATTTAATAAAAAAAGCTTTTTTAAAAGCAAATAAGAAAAGGACCCGATCGATATGGCTATTTATAACTTGTTGGTTAAGTACAACGAAACGGAAAACCCGCTTGCAACCCGAAAAGGAATTGCTAATGCGCTGGGGCTTTTTTAACCGAAAAAGCTTTAAGCACTTACTTTCGTTACCAAGCATTAAGGTTAAAAATCGGGGGTAAAAAAGCCAGGTTTTGTTATAACCATAAAGGCTAAAGCCGCGAAGGATTCGGCCGACGGGCCGGATCCAAACGCGCACAAATTTTTAATTTTAAATGCTTTAAAAAATGGTTATAAAGTAAAGCAAATGCGTAATACGAGCTTTTTACGTATGGGCAATTCGTATTACGGCTTTATACGGCCCGGGAAAAGCGATAACTTCCCGCCGGTAAAGGGTGGAAGTAACGACGAGCCCAAAAAATAACCTTTAAAACCGTTAAGGCTAGCTTTACCCTATAAAGCAATAAACCGGTCCTTGCTTATTTTAAAACCGAATATGCTAATCGTAATTACAAACGGCACTTTTGTAGCGCTCCTAATCGCGATATTAAAAGCGTTTAAAGCTTTTAAAGGTTTGTTCAAAACAAACCCAAACGAGCAAAAAGCGCCGTTTTCCCTTTTTTTTCCGGTTAAAAAAGGCAAAGGCCAACCCCGCAAAGGGACGGGCCTTTTGCTTTCGCTTAAAGCCTTTTTTTCCAACGCGCCTTTACCGGATTCGCCGATAATTACGTCCAAAGCGATCCGCGCCGCAACGCGTGCGGCCGCAAAGGAAAAAAAAGGAAAAAAAAAAAAGGAAAGCAAGCGACGCAATAACCTTAATAACGCCATTTTTTATTACGGCCCAGCGATAACGTTTAACGTTTCCAAACCAAAAATTAAAAACGTTGCTTTTAAAGCAAATTTAATAAACGAAAGCTAGCGAGCTTTTTTCGATACGTATTTATTTAATTAATAAACGGCGATTAAAAAAAGTAATTTCGGCCATTGCTTGGCTTACGAAATAATTGCAATTGCCGTAACGAAAATATTAAAGCGCAATAGCTTTTAAAAAAACAAACGGTTGCATCGAAACGAATTATAACGAATTTCGAAATCTTGGCGAAAATTTAATACGCACCCGCATAAAAAGGAATTTAAACAATTTACTTTTGGGGAAATTAACAAGCTATTAAAAAAAAAAGTTTGGGAAAAAATTCCGAAAAACTTATTTGGTAACAAAATTATCGATATTATTTGGGTATTTATTTACAAATTCGACGAAAACGGTTACGTTACGAACTATAAATCCCGCGCGGTAGCTAAGGGTAATTAATAACCCAACGGTTTGGAAAAGATTTACGCTGCTACGTTTGCAACTAAAAATTTTAAAATTATAATAGTAATTATGGCTTATTTTAACTTTAAAGCGCACCAAATTAACGTTAGCAAGGCTTTTTTTTACGCAAAAATTAGCGATAACCATACACCCGTTTACGTAAAATTCCCCTTTAAGTATTACCGAAAAGGATTTGTAGCCCGGCTTAAAAAAGCCTTGTATAAGCTACGAAACTTACCGAAATTGTAATACCTAGCCTTCGAAAAAACCCTTAAAAAGCTAAGGCTTACCCCGTTAACGGAAAAGCCCTATTTATTTATAAGCACAAAACGTAAGGTTTTTTTCCTTTTATACATTAACAATATAATTATTTTTAACCGTGCTACGCATTTAAAAATGGCAGCGAAAGTATTGGACGGTTTTAAAAAGGAATACAAAATAAAAAAAAACCATTTAAAATTTTCCTTAGGGTTTAAATCGTAAAGGACAAAAAGGTACGAACAATAACCTTGCATTACAACTTTTACATCGACAAAATCGTTAACACCTTTAACCTCGGGAATAAAAGCGTAAAGCGCTCCCCTTTGCCCAGTTAAACGCTTAAAAAAAATTCGGGGGTAGCGATACCCGCCGAAATCCTGGCCATGCAAAAAAAAATCGGGTTTATACTTTACACGGCCATTACCATCCGCCCAAACGTCGCTTTTGCAAGCGCAAAACTTTCCAAATATTTTACAAACCCAAGTAAAAAGCATTTAAAAGCGGCAAACCACACCCTTTTATACTTAAAAGGGTCGAAATCTTATTGCATCCGGCTAAGGAACGTCTTAAAGTCCAACCATTTGCTTTTAACCTTAAACGCCTCCTTCGCCAACAACAAAAAAACGAGGAAATCGTTTAAAGGATACGTTATATTCCTATTTGGAAGGCCCGTAGCGTAAAAAGCAAAAAAACAAGTTACCGTTACAACGTCCATTATAAAAGCAAAGCTTTTAGCGCTTATAAAGCTTGGAAAAGAAACTATCGCTATGCAAAGGCTTTTCCGAAATTTGCGTTTAAAAATTAATATTCCTTAAAAACTTTGCTGTAACAACATATAAACGATCCAATTAATAATCGAAAAAAGCACCCGCATTAATACGGCTTTAAAGCACGTGGATATTATAAACATGTAATTACGCTAAAAGTACCAAAAAGGAACGTTTAACGTAATATATTTTAAAACCGCTTTTATGCTAGCAAACGGGCTTACCAAAAACCTCCCGTTTTACAAATTTAAAATATTTAAAACTATTTTAAAATTGCACAACTCTTTTAAAAACGGGTCGGCAAATTTAATACGCAGCCAAAAACTTCGAAGCAAATATTAAAAAGCGTATAACGTTTGCATAAAGGCATAACGCAAATT